TATGTGTGAAGGAGTCATATGCCACATCGGAAGAAACGCGGTGTGTTTTCCTTGATCTGGAAGGTCGAAATCTGAAAGTCAAAAATTGAAAAAGCAAAAATTGAACAGTGAAGGTTGAAAAATCAGTATCGCTAGCTCAAAAGGGAAACATGGAAGTTGATTGTGGAAGCTCGAAACTTGAAAGATAAAACTTGAAATTTCAATAGAATTTAAGCTTAACATATATGCTAATCATCTAGTATCTACTGAGATTTGTAAGCAGGCTATTTCTCATCTAGATATGTGATTTGGCTCGCAAAAAAGTTAATTTCCAAATCTATGGAAATTTTTGATATACCGAAAGAATCCACCAAAGAAAGACATACAGAAAATTACTGGTAACTTTAGAAATTTCACATACTTACGAAAAATTATCATAAAGCGAAAGTAAATTAATCAGAAGTCACGCAACTTTCTCAAAACTAATAAGAAACTTCTCAGTAAATTATGAAATTACTCATCCCCTATGCAGGTATTTTCAGATGATTTGGACAAAAACCACTATTTAATAGGAAATATGGTGCTTTTTTCAAAAACTACCAAATGAATTACAGAAATATTATTAGAAAACTTCTAAATATACCAGTAGTGTCTAACTTAGAAGTTGAATTCGATTGAACATTCAAGTTTCCACTTTCAACTTAAAACTTTCAGACTTGGCATTTATGGAGAATAGCGAAAAAGAAGAACAAATTTCTGCTCAATATTGAACTATTTGGAGATATTTCAGCAATTACTGGGGAAATTAAATGAATATCGGAATTTCTCTGTTTTTTCGCACTGGTATCTATGTACTTTCATATGAAAAAGAAGATCTTATCCTTCGAAATATCGATTATTTTACAAATTACTGAGAAATTTTGGAAGTTGCTATAGAATTTCCGTAAATACTGGAATCAATATATTTTGTCATCAAAAAGAAAACCTCATCGTTCAACATATTAGTAATTTTTAAATTATTATGAAATTTTAGAAATTACCTATACTTCAAATGGTAGCATCATCTTCTCAATAATAAAATTCATAGGCATGTACAGGAAAAAGAACATTTCGTAATTCCTCTAATTAATGAAGTTTTCTAGTAATTTCCGAAATTTCTCAGTGTATGGGTGTAGGTAGACAGAGATGTGGGAGGATGTAGAGATAAATCTAAGTACCGCACTCATTCACACCCTATTATAAACCCTTTTTGACAGACTTCTGTATCAGATTGCTTTTGAAAGCATTGACGTGTTTCGTAGGTCTCCACACTCTTATGTCTGGAAAGATCAGGCCTTTAGTTTTCCAAGATCCACTTTGAAACGAAAAGACCACGAACTGGTTAGATCCGAATATAGATCCATGGTGTGTTATATTCTTATGAGCTACTTGTTCGACGACGCACTATAAATGGCATCCTTTTCAATTAGCTACAGTAAAAATAACAGAAAATGGGCCGTGATAAAGGTCTTTTCCTTGAAATATTCGACAAACCAACTTCTTTTTGAGTTTCTATGACGAATATGATAGAAGAAAACCGGTAGGCATCTAGTTGGATGTATTTCGTTCGATTGATTACAGTTCATCTTTGCAAAATTTCGCACGACAAACTTCCGTCGATTTAATCAGAAAAAATTCCCAAGGATGTCACACACGCGCACATTCTCTACTCACTTTGGGATTGTTAAGTAACTCGATGCTATTCTACTCATTCGCTTTCTACAGCTGATGGGTGATGGCGTTGTTTTTCGTTCTGTCGAGTAATCACTCCCATATACGCCATTGCATTAGGATTGTGATGAAAAAGCGTACAAAAATAATCAACGAAAATTAAACAGTTTTCTTATTCTTGCGTGTCGTAGTGGCAACATCAGCAACTGAAATGGCTTTTTTTGTGGGTGTGGATGTTCTCTTCATTCACACCCACACTCTCAAGGTTTATTGGAATTTTCTTTTTATTATTTAGTTCTCAGAATACTTCTAGCAATTTTATTTAAGGAATTCAGTCGTCAAATTATTTGTTTTCTCTGTTGGTTTAAACTATTCATTCTTAAAGTTGTCCATCGCCGTACGGGCAACCCGAATTGGTTGCTCTAATGTGACTTTTCTCATTCATCATTTATTTATGTTCGTAACGATCGTAAACTCTCGGATAAATGGGAATTCGCTCTGCTACTCTTCGTTTAATTAAAGCAATACTCTAACTCTTCCTCTAACAGAAAAAAGGAAAAAGCTAGTTTACTTCTTTTTTATTCTACTCGTTCCACTAGTTGCCGGAGACTTTACAGAAGCAATAGAATAAAAAAAGCTTTTCCTTTCTTTGTTTTAGTTGTCTATTCAGAGTGTTGCTCGACATTTTTCTGAGAAAAATTTAGCCGTTAAAAGAAAAAAGTTAGTTTACTTCTTTTTTATTCTACTCGTTCCACTAGTTGCCGGAGATTTTACAGAAGCAATAGAATAAAAAAAAGCTTTTCCTTTCTTTGTTTTAGTTGTCTATTCAGAGTGTTGCTCGACATTTTTCTGAGAAAAATTTAGCCGTTAAAAGAAAAAAGCTAGTTTACTTCTTTTTTATTCTACTTGTTCCACTAGTTGCCGGAGATTTTACAGAAGCAATAGAATAAAAAAAGCTTTTCTTTTCCTTGTTTTAGTTATCTATTTGGAGTGTTACTCAGCATTTTTCTGAGAAAAATTTAAGAGTTAAAACAAGAAAGCTAGTTTACTTTGTTTCTTTATATTTTACTTACTGCTATAGTTGCCGAAGATTTCACGGATGCAATAGAACGGATAAAACACTTTTCTTTTCTTTGTTTTAGTTGTTGATACCGAGTAATGCTCGGCATTTTTCTGAGAAAAATTTAACAGTTAAAACAAGAAAGCTAGTTTACTTTACTTTTCTTAAATTTTACTTACTGCTATAGTTGCCGAAGATTTTACGGAAGCAGTAGAATAATAAAAACCCCTTTCTCTTCTTTGTTCTAGTTGTCTATTCGGGCTGTTACTCAGCATTTTTCTGAGAAAAATTTAACAGTTAAAACAAGAAAGCTAGTTTACTTTACTTTTTTAAAATTTTATTTACTGCTATAGTTGCCGAAGATTTTACGGATGCAATAGAACGGATAAAACTCTTTTCTTTTCTTTGTTTTAGTTGTCGATTCCGAGTAATGCTCGGCATTTCTCTGATGAAAATCTAACTGATGAGTTTTGTTTAATTTTTCTCTTTCACGACTGAATTCCTGTAAAAGTGATCGAACATTTTATTGAAGGAATAATCGAATAACTTAGTTAAGTCGGCTGACTGCACGAAGTACAGTAGCCGACTTATTGCTTTTTACTCGGTTAGTTGCCATGGCAAATTCTTCTTCTTCTTCTCAACACATGAGTTATGATTCAAGTCAGCCACTCGTTCTCAGCTCCTGAGTATCGTTTTTAGTCGAAAAAAGGATTGGCGAGATCTTGAGAACGTGATGAGTGGGCATCTGAAATCCGTTTTCCGAAATTCGATGACGTTCGTGAGATATAAATAATGTCAAAAATGATAATTAACAGTTGATAGTTTCCTTGTATGGTTATGCATAACTCAATCTTAAACAGACCATTGATATCTCAGATCTTGTGCGCATATATACTTTAATTATCGTTTTGCATGACTTAAATTCATCCGTAAAGGAGTCTCAAACGTTTAGAAAGGTCTCTGCATGGTTTATACACATGAGATACGAAGAACGATAATGAACAGCTGAGAGCTTCCTTATATGAAAATCTATGATTCAGATTGATTATCTCGCACTAGTCAGCTGAACTAAGATAGCTGAAGGCGATTGAAATCCATCATAACTTCCTCTACACTAGTCTAGGAGTTCGAAATAGTAGATGTCACATAGGATCATATTTCGATATTTTTCGGGCTCTGCAGTCAGCCGACTTTTCTACCCGGCCCAAGGCCGGCTAGAGATCTAGTTTCGTTTGCTTTTCTTCTATCAACCATGTGCATATTTCATGCTTTTATTCTGATAGCAATAGAACGAATAGATTTGTTTTCGTTATCTTTGCCCAATTATCCTACAAGCTTTTGCGGATTTTATGATGAAGGTTTATTTCTGACCGCGAGTCAAACTTACATCTTTTGTTTTGTTTATTTTGCATAGGTAGTTGTACTCTTCATGATTCTTTGAAATCATTTTGAATAAAAAATAACAGAGTTAACAGAAACTGACGATTCTTTCACTGCGAGGAACCCTAGATCTAGGGTACTTGCATCCGAGACCGACATCCTATTTTAATACAGAACTTTTTATCTAAGTTTAGAAAATAAAATAGGAACGAATTTCTACTGATACCCTTCAACAAATATTCAATCTTACTCTACAAGGTAACAGTTGAATATGAAATATCTTTCTTCTATTTCTTTTTTCTTTAAGTCATCATTCAGTGAAGGTATGTTAGTGACTCATCATCAAAGAGCTAAGGCTAAATTAGATTAGTAATTAAAATAGTTGGTATAGGCGTGTGTATATCGGTGGAATTCAGATCTACACCCACATCGATTTCTTTGTTTAGTTACCGTGTTAGTTATGGTGTGTCTTATTAGACCATTGGAATCATAAAAATGATCTAATAAGACACGAGTGTGGGTGTGGATGTGGGTGACAGTATTCTTCATTCTCACATCCACACCTATACCCACACCCACACTCATATTTTTTGTATTACTTGTTCTAAATAAAGAAAGAGTATCATTTTAATAACTTTTTTCCCACATCGAATATGAAAACAGCACATTTTATTAGGGTACCCATGTAACAATAAAAAAATCAATTTACGAAAACATATGTTGCCAGTATAGTGCTTAAAATAGGATGGTAGTACTAGGGGCAGTGTGATGAAAAAAATGTACAAAAATAATTAATAAAAGGCAAACAGTTTTCTCATTCTTTTGCGTCGTAGAGTGGTAACATCAGCGACTGAAATTGTTTTTTTTGTCAATGCAAAATCAAACTGAAATTGTTGATACAAGTAACAACAAATAATAGTTTTTCACTTTTTAGACGTACATAACAAAACCGGGTATTGTAAAATGAGCGTGTTGAATCTGAAACAGTTAGTTCTGGACACTATTGATCATCTTTGTGACTGTCAATTTACGCCAAGTTCAGGATTATACAACACAATTAGAACTTATATCAAGAAATTGCCAGACGAAATTTTTCAACAAGACTCTGAAAGCATTAATGCTAGCTGTAATTTCCTGAAAACCATAACCGAAACCAGCGTTGATAACAATCAAAAACAATCACTTTTGAAGGAATTCGACCAAGAATCCGAAATTTTATTACGATCATTACAGATATTTACAAAACAAAATGCACAATGTCGCTATACACCTTTGCAGATACTGTTAAAACTAGAGTTGCTCTTCGATCCTATTCTTGATCATAAGAAAATCTGTCACAATACTGATCGAGAACTCTCGAAAAGCATTACGAGACTAAAAAATGAAAACGAGACTGAGTCTTCCGTATTACAACAAGAGAGACAGCGATCGATATTGTTTAATGAACTTATGGATGCGCCATTGGATGATATTATCTCGTATTTGCAAAAGCACAATAAAACATTTTATGACTTTTATAACAACGACAAAATCAATTATGTCTTCTTTCGATTGCATAATTTATCTTTGCGACCTCGACAATTTATTAGCTTGTATGACAAACTATGTGTCTTCATCGACTCTGAATTGAGTAAGAAGTATCATCTTGACACTGAATGTTTGGCAGAACTACTTCTGCATCAGTTTGAATATATTGGCGACGGATCGTATCGTCAGAAGCTAATAACTTTTATTGAAAAAATATTTTCACAAGACTATAAGATTTACAAAACTAGAAGTAAGTAAAGTACTGCTAATTCAAAAGTTGAGAAAAAACAAATTAGATTTCATCGAATTATAAATGAATGGATACAGCTTATGACGATAATTACAACCAAATAATCTTCATTTTGATTCAACAGAGTATTAGGAAAAGAATTTAGAAAGAACCAAAACGTCTTAGCTAAAAAAAGGAATAGTTATCAATCGTCAAAACCAAAGATTACTCAAGCTTACACTGACTACTCTTCGTTGAAACTGTTTTCATCGAATTCTATACAGCCTGTCCACAGGTAACACACTCACCCATTTTTGACTTTCTGATTGTCATAATTTGATAACTTAAGGTGACAAAGAGCTGAAACTTACATTGCAGCAAGATATATGAAAGTTCTAGTTTCACTAAAATTTTCATTTCATTTCGTCGAACTACGATGATTCTAAAAGGATAGAAAGTCGTGATAAGGCACTCATTCAAAAGAACCCCTTCCATCAGAGCCACCCAAAAAAGTTCACATTTCTAAAAATTTTCTCGCTCCGAACAAAATGCTTTTTTTCTGTATTTGAAGTTAACACAACAGACCTGACGATGGTGAAATGTGTTTTTTGAAATCTTGTTCCTACAAAGAGTTATCACCAAAACATTATGGTACGCACTCATCAATATTTTTGAGCTCCTTAAAGAAGTACGTTTTTTTATAGCTTTGACAAAAATAGAAGGTGACCCATTGATGTCAAAATTGTAGCTCAATCTTCGATAATATCACTATTATTTCCATTTTTTTAAATGATAAAGTAGTGTTCGAAATATGATAATACACAATAAGGCCCTTCTTTCATCATTTTTGCACGAAAAATGCTTGATTGTGGCTGTCGTCTTGTGTTCGAGAAATCTTCTGCTCAACTTTGGCCAATCATGGTTCTTTTTAGCTGGACAGGCTGTATACTAAACTTCGTGACATCTACAAGAGCATGACCAAATTTTGATCTCTGTGGTCTGATTCGACTGGATAGTGAACGTTTCGGTATCAGAGTGTAGACGTAGGTTTGGAGGCAGATGTAGGTGTTGTGTAGGCTTTTCAATTAACAACACCAACACTTCATATCCACACTTACGTACATATTGCACTTCAGGGAGCATGAAAGAATATTGTTTTCCGCCAAGCTTGACCTTCACGTACCCTCACTATATTCTCTATGATCTTAGAGTACAAAGAACGTCATTTCTTCTGTTTGAATGAATGCCATTCATTTTTTTGAAGATTCAGAAGCAGACATCAGCAGGTATTACAATGGTCTCGATGAAAATCCATTCAAATTTGTCAAGTTCCTCGAATATATCGACGAACCATCACTATTGACTCAGGAAGATCAAAACAAGTTTGCAGTACTTTTTGAAATCTATTGCAAAAAACTAGCAGGAATTCTACCCAGTGCACCTTGGCAACCACCACCCCAGTCATCAATCACTTCTCAATGGCACGAGTTAAACTTGACACATAATTCACGAAATCATCGCAAAACTGGTCGTCAACGTAAAAATAATAGCAAGTAGCTGTTAAGAATCGTTTTATAATACTTCATTACTGTAATTATAGATACTGTAGCCGCTAAACAAGGAAAATTTTCTCGATATGATGCAAATAGAAACATGGTGTCTCGGGTAAGAAGTTAACTGAAACGGCTTGCTCGGCAAAGTGCAACAATCGATTTATTGTTTCTCAGTTACATTGTTGCTATAGAATATACTCCTTGTAGTTCTTCACTATGCATTCGTTATAATTTCATTCAGTCACTCGTTTACTGCACTTGAGCATATTATTGAGTTGGAAAAAAGCTTTTTTGTGATCTGGGTGTGGGTTCTCCATTTAGCCACATCCACACCCACATCCATACCCTACCTACACCTACATCCACATCCCGCATCCATACCCACACCCATCGTAGGTTGCTGCAGATAGCGCCTTTGAATTATGCAACTCACTACAACGGATCTATTAATTCTCAAAAAGTAGCACTTGATATTCAAGTCTGACAAATTAGAAAAATTTATTAGAGAATTCATCTATGAAAACGTTATCAACTCTCAAATTTCTGATGCTGCTGAATAAAAGTAGCAATTGATGCACGTTACAAAAAAAGAATCAAGCTGATGTCAACAGTTATTTTTCGTACAACACATGAGAGCCTCCGAAAAATAATGAAATTTTTCTTTTGCAGTTATTGATCACTTCTTTTAGCAATCATGCTAGGTGATCTCGAATAGACTACATCATTTGATGTTTGACTTTAGTTTCTAGAGAACGAAATGAGTCTCAAGAAATAATATGGATTTTGAGGAAATAAGGTAAACTGTCAACGAAGGTTTTTGTATTCTGATGTTATTCAAATAGTTGAGGATAAATCTGGAATTACAGACACAGGATGTATTACTCAAATAATTCTGATAGCGGAAATCCAATCAGAATAGAGCACCTGAGCGCTTGAAGTACACTAAAGAAAAATTTTATTTATTTTCTCCATTATGCCAACTATCGACGTGGCGGAACTCTTCCGAATATTTTGAAAATTCAACAAACTTTCAAGAAACTAATATAATGTATCGGTCAGAATCTTTTTAAACCTTTCAACTTTTTATCAAATCTAATGGCTTTTCTCAAATGAAATGATGTTTTTTTCTTCAATTTCTACAATAGAACACGCAGAGTGATTATTATGGTGATGAATATTATTCTACAACACTTTCTGTTTAGGTATCAGACTCATGGGGAACTTCGCAACGTACATCAAACGATCGTCTATATTACGAATCATCGTACTATAAGGATAATTTTTCCGAACATCAATCTCGACGAGGGAAAAATAAGCAGCAGCCTTGGATCGATGAAAATAATTGAAAAATTCCTAGAAAACAATTATTTGAACGATCGTTAAAAAATTTCAAATTTCTATCCCTGTTTTTCCTAAAATTGTAAAATTTGCCACTGCATGAGACATTTTCTTGTATCATAAATAAATATAAACAAATATTTAGTTTATAAGAACTCTTCCTATGCTGAGGATCAATCGTAAGAAGCTATGCGTCAGGCAGATTATGGATTATAATTACATAGTCGCAAAAGGTAAACAGTTAATCAGTAAACAAACTCACACACGATTTTGATTACTTCAATTTCTTAATAAATTGATGTATTTTTGTTGTATTGAAATTCATACAGGGTACGAAACTATCAGGGTGTGAGTGCAGACAAATAAAAGATCCAAACCCACATTCACACCCATACCTACATCCATACTGACACCCACACCCATGATAAACTGGTAATCCCAATCTTCATCGAGAAGAAAAATGTTGAAAAAATAATGAGAGAAATGTCGAATGAAAAAATGTTGAAATAGACGACTGTTGACAGTGAATATGTCGAAGTGAGAATGACAGCAGACACCGATACTTTCTTTCGAGATTTTTATCTTTGACATACTTACTTTATTGGTCAGGAGAATCGATTGACTTCATCGATATATGTTCAATATGCCCATCCCATTCAATTAGAACAATAGCGACTGACGATCATCATGATTACTCAGGTATGAGACAAGTTTTTTTTTACATTCGCTATACTCTGAAGCTATATTTTTGACAGATACGAGGCCATCAAGTTATCCCAGGCGTGTTCTATCCATGGATGGTGCAGAATTCTTCATATTCACAGGAAAATCTATTTGTGTTGAATAGAATGGAGACGATTCTAAGCACCATGGGAAGAAAGATGTGTGTATGATATCAAGAAATACATTCTGTATACGATATCCATTTTACTCCGTATACCTCATTCTTTGTAGTCTCCTACACGAATCGTACACAAACTTATTTCACTATCGGGTTTTTATCATGTAAACGATCATGTTTCTTCAATTCAGTGAACAAACTTTCAGAATAAAAGGTTATTGCTGATAAAAGCCTAGGTGAAAAAATCAGACATAAGATCTTGTGGATTAGACGAAATCGTACGAAAAATCGCAGTCTCAGAAATCTTACAGCATATCGTGTACTATAAAGTTCTTGAAAGATCTTACCACCACATAAAATTTCCTATAATCTTATAATGATATCTTACAGGAAAGCAAGATCTTTCAAGAATCTTACAGTACACGATATGATATAAGATTTCTGTGACTGCGAGTTTTTTGTGCGATTTCAGTCTGATCTTACAAGATTACAGGTACGATCATGTAAGATCTTACTATATGATTGCTTGCCCTGAGTCTGTGCAGGAATCAAACCTACGATCTTCTGTGTGTAAGACAGAAGCTGATATTCTGAGCAATGATCATTGTCGATGTTTTAATAATACAACCGAACTCAACATGATCGTTCGCATATTAAATTTATACCTTTTATCATGATCTTGAATTGCTATTAGCAAGAGAAAAGTTTCAAATTCTGAATCATGAATTGATTCACTCAAGTGATCTAAGAAAATCTTAACTTCTTGATATAACAACGCAAAAAAAAATCGCTTTCATCATTCATATTTCTTGATCAATTTGAGAACGAATATTTTGAGATTTCAATCCTTATAATGAATCATTCGTACTTTGCATCCAATGCCAAAAGACGTTTGCATCATGCAAGACAGGTCGGATATTAAAAAGAAGGCTGTACAGTATTTGTTCAATACTTAATTGAGACTATCCATCAAAATATGATGGACACGACAAATTAAGGAAATAAGTAGAATTTAACATGATCAATTACGAAATTAAAGTACATCTATGAAATTCTTGTGATCATACAAATATACGTAAGTCGACTGAAAAGTGTGTGTGTATCAAACTTTATTGTCAATTATCAAGTTTAATCATAGAAAGAAAACAATTATTCATGAATAAAAAAAACGAACATATTAATGAACAGTAATCTTGAAAGAAAATTTACAAATAATGAATTCTATGTAAAGAAAGATAGTTCATTATTTTTCATGGAGAAATACTGCAGAGTACATACTTAGATCGATATAACTACTAGACTTCTCAATCGAGCCATATGAGTGGAAAACAAAATAAAGAGAAAAAAAATACTACCAAAAAATTACAATTGATGTTTGATGTCATTGATTAGCCTTTCAAACTTTTCTGTATCACCCAACAATTCTGTTAAACGTTGTCTTTCTTTATTTGCTATGAATAACCACATTGTTTTAAAGGCGTTGTATTTCATTTCCAAGATAACGATGACAATGGTAGTTGTTAGAATAGTCGAACCGTTACTGAGAATCGAATGAAAAGATGTTAGTGGCTTCTGACAAAGATTTTGAATATCATCATTGCTTAAATTCAAAAGTTCATCAAATTTTTGTAAATTAATTAAATGACGAACAATATTCTGATCATTGGATGGCCATGTTTTCTGTTCAGTCATTGCAGATGAAAATAAAGAACTTGTTCCATCACTGTTTATAGTACCAAAAGAGAATCTAACGCAATCGTCATTTCTTCATGAACTGTCAGATGAACTAAAACCAAATAATGGTACTTGTTGCGAAAATGCAACAGGTGATTGAGATCTGGAAGATGCACCAAAAACAAATGTTGGTGGTGATGATTGCGCAGTTGAGAAAGATGATTAAGAATTTTGTTGTTGATCACTAAAAAATGACTCAAATACATCAAATGCTGATGTCAGCTTTGATGATGGCGTACTCAAACTAAACAGCATTGGTGAAGGGCAATTAGACATTATTCAGCTACTTAAGTTTGAATTAGACGAAGAACCGAACACACCGGATCTGAATGGTAATCCGGTCATGACTTTATCATCCGATGATATTTCAATTGAAATTTCCCTTAACACCAATGTTAGAGTTGGTATTTTTGGCTGATAGATCTGTACGCGTTTCAATACCAATAAAAACTGTGTGTGGATAGAGAATATTATACTTAAATGAAATAGTGATTGTCCGTGTTTTTCTACCATCTTCTATACTCTGTCACAATCTGGTTTGTTGAGATCCTGCTTGTGGTTCTCTCGAATGTGTAATTTCTTGAATCAGAGCCTTAGCTGCCAAATGAGCTATTAATTGATTATTGTTATCTGTAATCTCTGGTACACGATCGATTCTAGCTAGTCCGAGTTGAGCTGTTTCTTCATGATTCCAGAGTTCGACAGTTGTGAAATGATCGAATTGATCACTTTCGATCAATGTATAAAACAAAAGACGATCATTGGCATAAACATGTGGAACAATTGTTGGAATAGTTTGAAGTTTGGACGATATTAATGATAGAATATTCCATTTAACTTTGACATTGGTAATACATGGTTCGAGAGCTTTCTGAAGTTGTTCAGCAACATGAATATCAACACTTGTTCCTGGAGGAATAAATGTAAATCGACCGTTCGTCAAATGAGCAAGACCTTTAATCAATGATCGACTTGGTGAATGACCAAGACCGAACGAAAAGATTTTTGATGATGTGTTGACATTGATCGACAAAAATTCATTATTTGAGTAGCATTGGATATTTCTCCATCAGTTAATAATAATATTTGTCGAGAATAGTCAGTAATGGGTGCCTGATTTTGTAACCACTGTAATGGTCTCAATAGTTCAATTCCACCAAGGTCAGCTGCCATTTATGAAATCAATTGTTCAGCTTGCCTTGCATTTTGTTCATTATATTTTTCAATCACATTATTAACAATGTTTTATAATTAGATCCAAATCGTATAATATTAAATTGATAGTTGCCTGGCAAACTCTTAAGAAATAAAACCATTGCTTGACGAGCAAGACCAATTTTGTTTCCATCTTGCATCGAACTACTACAGTCGACAATAAAAATAAATTCATTGTTTACATCATTGATATTTTTGTTAGTATCAAATGCTTTCCTACAATCTTCATTTGTAGGTATAAAAGATGCCATTAAAGCTAATTGATGTTCACCATTGTTTTCAACAGCTAAAATTGTATTTGTTCGAGTTGATAGTTCAATATCTAGAATAATGTCTCGATCCATAAATGTATTCTTTTGATCAAATGTTATCGAATATGTGT